AAAACCTAGGGATTCGGCGCACACGTTTGGTAACTGTCGGCCGGAGGCTGTACCTCTTATGACGTCATAACTCCGTGACCTGACATGACCCGATCAATTTTTTCGGCAAAAGATGCGCAAAGGTTGCCCCAGAGGGTATTGAAAATTTCAGCCCGCTACGACAAGCCGTTTAGCGTGCACTTCGAAAAAACCTCAGGGGGGGGGGTTGATACACCCCCCCCCCCCCTAGGCGTTCTAGGGTTAAGCACATCAGTCCAGTTTACACCGTTACGAGGTGACCGACCCGCGCCAGACTCCAAAATCCAAATATCCGCTCAGGCTGAGCCACAGGAGTTGGCATCCAGAACCATGGTATAAACGGACCGCCGAGTCACGGAAACTGACCAGTTTAACCCACGAGAACCGACCTAACTGAACATCGCAGGCTGACCACCCGAGCTGCAGGATCTTCGTTCGCTCGGTATCAAACTGACTAGTAACTACACAAGTACAAGGTACGCGTTTGTACTTTGTAATGAATTGAGATGCTGAATTACCGTCACAGCTGGAACTGAGCGCAAGTAGCGGGCCGGAAGCGCTGCTATCTTTCAAGTACCTTTTCACTGTCCTTCTCCACACATGCCTCACAATGCAACCGCCTCGCTTATCACCTGCACGCACTTTTGAATGAAAGGTTCTATGGCCATCGTTGAGATATATGCCTTGAATGAAGAAATTAGTTTGCCACTATACAGTTATACACAGATTTACGCATGGGTGGAGCTTTCCGGGGAAGTTGGTGGGGCAAAAAGGCCTACACTGTCCGACTGTCAAGTTGAATAAAATGAACACTGAGCTGAATCAATTCCTGTCATTGCAAATGTAACATTTTGCGTAACACAGACATTCCAAAGTTCCAAAATGATTGATTTGCAAACCAACAAAGCCCTGCAAATCAGCTTAACCCTCGCCGGACCTATTGGTTTTCTACATACGCGCCGGCCGAGGGGGGGGGGGCGGGTACGACCCCCCCCCTCGCCGTTTCGCCCCTGGTGGAGCTAGCGCGTCGCGGAAAAAACGAGCGTGTGCGCCGTTACGAGACGCAGAGATTGGTACCCGATTTTAAGGTCCTAGGTCAACCGGTGACCTCTGAGGTCAGGTCAAGTGCCCCAAGGTACGGTTCAGTTTTTGGTGAATAACTTCGCAAAAAACGGCCGCAGAGCGCCGATTTTGGCAGCATCGTGTTCGTCTCGCTCAGGCGCGTCGAATGATATACTTTTTGTCCGGGTCAGGTCAACTTGGGGTGTTGACCTCAGGTCAAGGTCAGGTCAGCACCCCCAGGTCACGAAGTTGGTCGAAAGAGGTCATGTCGCATATCATTCGATTCGGCAGATCTTCCTGAGTCCATTGGTGGCTTTCCCGACTCGCTAGCTCAATTTGATCAAGAGTTATTGACGAAAAACTAATATGACCTTGATGACGTCATAAATGACGTCACGCAAGGTCAACATTGCAAAAGTGACGCATCTAACCTTGCAAGGAGTGCATCAAATCACGATTCTGTGTGCTTGAGATAGTTGGAGATCGTTCCCGGCGCCAGAATAGCAGTTTTCATTTTTCCCCATTGACTTATAATGGTGAGGTCACGAAAATGACCTGACCTCATATGACCTTTAGGAAAAATCCGAGATATACAAGTTGTGGGACTCATAATGGATACTAGATCCTGCAAGTTTCATTTCCCTGTGACATCTCCTCTGGCAGTGAGGGCGTTGCGAAGTTGCGACATCTGAAGACCGTGCAGAGGTTCACTTATGACGTCATAGGTCAGTGACCTGACCTGACCCAAAAATGCGGTTGGTGTCAAAAGATCCGGCTTGGATCAAAGGTCAGGTATGCCAAGTTTCAGCTCTCTATCGCCAGCGTGTTCGGAGCTATCGCGAAAAAACCCTATGGGGGGGGGCGGCACCCCCCCCCCCCTCGGCCGGCGAGGGTTAAGTTGGTGGGGAAAAACGCTTATTGGTGGGGCAAAATGGCAAGTTGGTGGGGCAGCCGCCCCAACAACTGTACCTATAGGAAGCTCCGCCCCTGGATTTACACCCTTGTAGTTTTTATCGTGCAAGCTTAAAAATAGTTGTAGTCCTGCCAATGTGACTCGTTACGGCTCTCTTCATGCATCCAACTCAATTCCCCACCCCCGAAACGAGTGACGGCGTCGCGTCTCTGTTTCCTGAAGACGCATCACTCGACGAGCGCTGTAACTTCCGTGTGTTTTCATCCTCACCTGACCCTGTCTGGGATGATTCAGCAGGTGCTCAAGGATTACGGCAGCGACACGCCTCCTTATTTGGCCTTTTCTTGATAACAACCACTTATACTCGGTTGCGGAGATGGCGATTTTAGAGTGACTTATCACGTGTATTTTCCTAACTAGGTATAGGTATAATGTAAACAAACATCACAGGTAGATAACGGGAAAAGTCGCAAGCAGTATAAAAAGATAAACACTTATTTGTTTTATGTTTAGCAGATAAAACCGATGGGTTGATCAGGAATCGATTCTCAGCCACCTACCTTCGTGTCGTCTTTACGATAATTTCAACCTGTACTACGGCTTTGCTCGTTATATGCCAATCTGACCAGGTAAGAAAAAGGCTTTTTGGCAATATATCATCTCACACTATATGTCATCTCACACTATATCATCTCACACTAGGAAGCTTTAATTAACTCGGATGCAAGCTATATCTTTTGAATGATCTGATATGGGACAGCTGCTTCTCAAAGTTCAATCCTTTCTCTATGTCTGAATTATGAATGCAGTTATTCTCGTAACCCTGCTGTCCGATTCGGTAATCGATTAGCTGTATGCTGTAGTACCTACATATATGCGAGCAAGAGTCCCATAACCGATTCACGCCCATCCACTGAACGCTTTGGTTGCTGGCATCATAATCTGCAAACAAGGTGCTGCTAGAGGGAATATTGCTTTTTTCAGTAAGTGACTATTGAAGTAGTGAATCACTTGACAGAACGGCCAATAAGTGGCCTTACACATATCAATTCCATCGGTCTTTTCTCGTTTTTTTTTTTTTAGGTTTTAAACATAAAAGGAAAATGGTGCTGAGACAAGGCCAACTTGCCTTATGCATTGTTCGTGAAGCAATATCTACGTCATATCTTCACATGAAATGTGACGTTTTCTCCCCATATTGCACACAGTGATATATGTATCACGTTTCACACAGCGTGTATCTTCTACGCGCACTTATTTACGCAATGTCCTTACATGTAGATCATCTGATATGACCTCCCGGTTAGAACGGAGTTTCCTTTTGCAGCGAGGCAGCTCTCTGCTCTTCATCGGCACATTTAGCGCGCACTAACTAGCGCTCCACAAGTCTCAATCGAGATCAAGGTACTAGGCAGTCTCCTGCAAACCCGTCGTCACTTGACAAAACAATAAGCTCATCGTAAATATTACGTCTGCAAGTGTTCTAGAATGCAACTTAGCGGCTTAGAACGAGAGGAAGAGTCTAGCTAGAAGCCATTGTCCAGAGCGTACAAGACGTGATTAGATTGATTAGCCACAAGATGTAAAGATCAACTAAATAGATACCTTTTCACACAGAAGGCATTTCATCGAACCTACACTTCAATTGCTGAGTGTCCTGCCGCTTTAACCCGCGCCCCGTAGGGCTACCGGCGGACCCTACCACCCGTAGGGGGGGGGGGGCGTTTCGGCCCCCCCCCTAAGATCTCGGAAAGTTACCGGCCGATTTTCAAAATTCAAACGGCGTTCGATAGCCCCACCCGGGAACTACCTTGTGACCAAATTTCATTGACCTAGGTCAAACCGATGACGTCACAGGTCAGGTCAAAGGTCAGATTTTCACCGTTCACAGGCATTTCAAGAAATGTGTTGTGAAATCGAGTTAATTGGTAATTTATTGAAAACCATCGATGGTACATTGTTCGTCAAACACATACTTTGCTATCTGAGGTCACTGATACCAGGTCAGGTCACAGCGAGGTCAGGTCACCGGGGTCACAATATGAAAGTGTCGTGTGATACATGTTTTATGGTCCATTTTACATGACAAATGCGATTATGTGGGTTAGGCAGCCTTTGGGGCCAGCCTAGGTCACGTTTTGGTGAAGGTCAGGTCAAGGTCAGGTCAAATAAGGTCAAATTTCAAAGTTGATATTTTTGCATAAAATGGGTATCGATTCGATGCAGCTCGTCACGGGGAGTCTAATGGTGGTCTTTGTTTTGCTCTACGAGGTCTAGAACTGCCAAAAATTGAGTTTGAAAATTTGACGTCATCAATTTTGAACAGTTTTTTCGCTATAACTTGGCCAAAAACGAGGTATCGATCTGAAATTCGGTATGTAGATAGAAGACGGTAGGTACTATCACATATATTCCGTTTTTTTTTTTGAAACTCAAAAAACTTTTTGGATTTTTTGGCTAATATATCCAAAAAAATGTTTTTTTGATTTTTGGGGTTCAAAACTCAAAAATTTCAAAAATCCGAGATAGCAGTTTTGTAGCTCTGTCAATTCTACACCTTTTATGTCTTGATCATTTTTCTGTATCTTCAAAGCTGTAGGCCTGACAGGTCTTCTCGCGAAGGTCTTTTTTCGGTCGAAAATGACAGAACATGACGTCATTCTGACGTCATTTGTGGCCAACCTATCATAGCCTCTGGAAAATTTTTGGTCACAATGTGTAAAATTGATGCCCGGAGGGGTCCTGAAAGTTTGGTGGCGATATCTGAAGCGGTTTAGGAGATATCGACCGAAAAGGACAGGGGGGGGGGGCCGTTTCGGCCCCCCCCCCTACGGGGCGCGGGTTAAGGGCAACTCCAAGCATGCTTCAGCTCCCACAGGGACAAAGCAGCGGGGGATCTTACCGCTTTCGCGCGACGGAAAACAAAACATTCCTGAAGGGTTATCGGTCACTCGTGAGTCGTCATAGCATTCCAGCATTATTGTACCACACAAAAAGAAAACACTACTGTATCCAAAATATGTATTATTCTAGCTTGGTACATATAGCATACCTATATGTGCTAAAATTTCAAAATCAGAACAATAACTATCCGCAAAAAGCAGCTGGTTCTAATTGGTGGCCGTACTGCAGCTCTGTTCCCTTTTGGAAGCGTCTGGTTACACGCTTCGAGCGGACCAGCGTCTATGGTTGGAGGAAACATTACGTATCCACTGAATAATCAGATATGACAGCAGGACCTCCAATATTTATAAGGCACAACTTTTGGAAGAGTAAATGTTCAATAAAAACGCGGCACATCGCGAAAGCACTCGAGACGTTGAGAAAACGGCAGCATCATGAGGTTAGAAAACCTCCTATGTTACGATGCCTCCCCACACATCTTTCTACACAATTCACGATAAAATAATCTCAATGACTTCATGTCTGATGAAGTCTAGCTTAGTTTCTATATCATCGCAATTTATGTAACTACACCCGTCAGCAGACAGCTAGACTACTTCCAACTATAAGTAATAAGGAGATTGGGGAGCGGTTCACCACCCGCAGTGGCGACGCACGATCGGACCGGCCGGGGCAGAGCGGGAGGGTAGGTTCAGGTCATCCCTGGCCGCCCGGGCCACCCTTGGTACGGTCGGCGCACGCACAACACGCACGGTATAGTGGTGAAACAGAGCCCCAGCGTCAGCCCAGCGCCCCACACAAAATGGTACGACTGTTCACATGCACGCGCACCAAATTCAAAGGCTTAACTACAACTAAACGATGTCATTCGCCAGCTTTTCTACACAACCGTATCACCCTGTCACCAAACTACCAACGCCCAATATCACGCATTGCATTCAGATCCAGGTGCGCCATTGCAAACAACTCCATAGCATCTCATTTGTGACAAAAAAAAAAAATGGCGTACACGCATAGGCGTCCCTTCACCAAAATAATTCATATTCAGATCTATCGACGGTTGGCCCAATGCCACAGATCCGTCGTTCGAGCGCCGGGTGTAACTTGATACCACACAGCATGTACACAAGCGCATTCATAAACACACGTTCGTATCATCCAGAGAAACGGCAATCACAGGTACAGTCGTTTCCCCGTCTAGCAAATCACACTTGGAGACAGCACGGCAGGAATGTGCTCGGTAAAACTCAGCCAGTAACATCATTTTCCAACCGAGGTGGCTGCAATGAGCTTTTAGGCCTAGGGAATGTGAATAAAGTAGGCAGATCTGGCGGATGAGATAATTTTTAAACAATCATGCTGAGAAAACCACACAACACGTGAGAAATATGCGATATTTTATGCAATGACAATGCTCAAACGCGTGTATCGGCGAAAATGCACGCAGCAAGGAATGTGTGAGGCTTGTCTAGGTTTTGTGTTGCCTAGGGGCTTATTTTGGTAGTAACCCCGAGTTTGGAACATTTTTATCAACTTCCCAACACGAGTATTTACGTCATTTTTCAAACGTCAAAACAAATGGACGGAAAAAAGGTTGCAAACATGATTTACTCCAAGCTCAGCTCAAGCCGGTGTCACCGAATCAGATATAGTCACTTATGAGATATGACCGCTTAAACGATTCTTATATAAGTATTTGTCTTATTGTAAATGATTATACAGGAGGCTCACACAAAGCAGTGTGAGCGGCCCATGTGGCCTTCAGATCCTCCCCACCGTACCCCCGTGTACAAGAGGCGGTACACTCACGAAGAACGCCAGCGACTACAGCGTTTAAGTGTAAAATAACGCCCCAGCCGAGTGTTTACTCCCGTGCGGTGTGGTCAGTGCCGCTCGGCTCACCGCGCTGGCGGCGGCGGCGGCGGCTCAGGGCGCCACGCTGCTCCCTGGCGGCGACGGCGGCCCCCGCGCCGGCCCGGGGCCTCCGCCGGGCGGGGGCGGGGGCGGGGGCGGGGGCGGTTCACGCGGTGCTCTCGTCGGGGCCGCCCACAGAGGCCACCTCGCCCAGACACGCCTCGTGGTTGAGCGCCGCCTCGCGGAGAACCTGTGGATGGGCGAGAGAGTCAGGGTGTCAGAGTACTCCTGTGCCGTAGGCCGGTTATACAGGCGTTTCACACAGAAACATCAATCATGTAGTCGATCATGCTGAGCCTGTGCTCTCTAACCTGCCTCAATCATCTATCCCACTCAATACCATCCCTACCCTCCTATGTCCATCACTTAGCTAACTGTCAAGTGTCTGCCATTTTCTGTCCTACTCGATGGCAAATCGTTGCCATCCTGTCTATTCCTTCTATTTTTCTAAAGGTGAACTACTGGCCACGTCCTACTGCTCACAGCTATTTCCCGTCCCTGGCAGCCCCACCTGCACCCCTAGACTCTGACGAGCGGACGGAGCCGACAGGCTACCCACGCACGTACCCGGAGGTGGTCGTTCATGTCAGCTAGCATGGTGGTGATGATCTGGAAGTGGGTGGCGTTGGCGCTGTTACTGGCAGACCTGGCAGAGAGGAGGGATGGCGTCAGCGGATCGTAGGCCGAACGCTACACAGTACACAGTGCACATGTCCGATCCGAATGCTACAGAGTCCACGCAAAAACAGACACAATCACGCAGATCTGCTACCTTTTACCGGCGGTTGGCATACGCTGACTTGAGCTGAACAGTGAACACCGCACGGACACGCAGTAGCACACAACAGGGAATGAGCCGGCTCCTAGGCAACTGAGCTCGAGCGCCACCTGTGTAGCACCGACCGTGAACAGGACAAGGCTGATGACAGGGACAGTGCAGAACAGGACAGAAAGAGTCTGGCAGGAGCCGTAAAATCAATTCTAGTTGTACGCGATGTCATTGGCCGGGTCATGCGATCACTTGGGCAGTCGACATGCCTGGACAGAGCACACTTAAACACACCACTGACCACAGGACATCATCGGTCGCCGGATAGGTACCACACAAAATGGAACACCCAACGACCATCCATGTTACAATATCGGCCACCTCATGGGTCATCCATGATCCAAGTCAACATCCCCATCCTATCATCCTACGATATACTTGTAGATGCAGCATTGTGAGCTTGGGATGTAATATCGCTCCACAAACGACTAACGACAGTTTCATGAACGGCACATGACGTAGGAATCCAAGCGGCAGCCTCGTATTCTCGCCACCCTCACCACACGGACAGCCCTTCCAGCGTCTATCCCACCCACCCGCGCGCGTCTCCTCACCGCACGATGAGCGCCAGCTGGCTGACGCTGAGCACCAGGGCCGAGCTGCGCGCCTCGAGCAGGCGCGGGTCCAGCGGCGGGTACATGGAGCGCACCACGTCGTCCACGCGCGGCGAGATGAGCCGCGATACCTCGGCGATCTCCTGGACGCGCTCCTTGCGCACCGGCCCCATGGCCAGCGCCACCAGGTACTCGGTCAACTGGTGGCACGTCTTCAGGATGTCCAGACAGTGCGGCACCAGTCCTGGGGACAGGGGACGGTCAGACGGGGTCGGTATCGCCACCGCAGTGTTATTGACGTAAGTGGACAGACGGTGCAGAATAACGACTAATAACAATTCCTCAATTTGCGTGTTATGGAGAAATCCTGTTCCTTCCAATGAGAGCAGAAGAATTTATGTCAGTCGTCAAGTACACTTTGGAATGCTTGTAGTTTCCATTTCCTAAACTATATAACTCGGTGATTTTTTCATTGCATTTACCATGGTTGGGCACCGTTACTCAAAATTGGAGCTTTGCTACTCGTTCCTTCGAAGCATGGCTTTCGTTATTTGTTCCTCCCTTCCTCTACATTCATGTAAGGATAGTTAGTTGCCCCGTTACTGCATCACAGCAGGAAAAATGCACACTAAAACGGTGGGATGGTGGTTATGTTAAAAAAAAATGAGATGAGACCAAAACAGATGCTGATTACACCTGCTAAGACAGAGAGCAAATGAATCTACTAAGACAGCAAACAGTCAATAACATTCACCGGAAACCATCGTCACGTTTCGGTTGGTTTACTTGCTTCCCCAGCAAGCCACCCGTCAGGCTGTGACTGACTGTCTAGCTGAGACTAGGGGTTGTCAGATACGAGGAGAACCCAGCTGGTTGGAGCGAGTGTCCGATGGGCTAGGACGAGGGACTGGTGATTAGGATGAGGGACATACCCAGTACCCCATGACCAGCAAGCTAGACTGCAAATCACAAAAGCCCAGCACAATGGTATGGGATGGATGGTGCTCAGATAAAGTATAAAAAAATGTTATTCTACCACCACAACAAAAGCTGGAGATAACCTGCTTGCTAGATCACCCTGCTCAGAAATCCAAAAACAGCAGGAGCAAAGAAGCAAAAGAAGATACTTTTTGTAACCAATAACAGCGGAATATAGAGCCAATGAACAAATGCTATAGGTCTGTTGAGCTATCTGGAAATGTAATAAGTCTGTTTCTGTCTGACATTACTGAAAGTGAAACTGTAGCCCTTTTGGTAATGCCTTAACCTAACTGCTTCAGGTCAAGCATTCAACATGCAGAAAAAAGATGAACATGGTCACATAGATCCCAGCTCCCAGATTTCACAAAGAAATGTTAGGTATGTTTTTGCAAAGAAATCACACAATATTTGGCAATAGCCTTCAATCAACATGATTCAGAACTGCTGCTTACCAGTGGCATCATCAACCCAGCGGGCATCGCTGAGGATGGACTCAAACTGAGGCGAGAAGTTGACGTCATCCAGCTCCATGTCTGTCCACTCCTCTGTGATCAGCTGACTGTCCTGTCTACAAAACAACACAATCTGTGTTAGGCCCCTTTTGCATCCAACCATACAGATTGCAGATTCAGATTAAATATCTAGTCCTCTAGAGTGAATAAGAATTGGAGCTCTTCCCATCTGTTTTGGGAGAAGCTAAGTATCTCAATTAAACTGAAGACTTATGAATATTGTAAGTTACACAAACTCTGAACTATGAAAGAAATTACTGCACCTACTTGAAGTCCATATAGTTGACCAATTTCTTATGCTGGTTGAAGCGGTTGCGGCAGATGTAGATGAGAATGATGACGCAGGCAAAAAATACAACACCAAGGATGGCCAGTGAAATGGCCACCACCATTTCTGTTGGGTTATTCATGACTTGAAGTAGGATGATACTGAAACTCAGACAGACGGCAGTCAGATAGGTCAAAGATTATTAAAGCACAATGTCTACAACTACCCAATATCTAGCTGAAACATGTCAAATAATGGGCATACAACCATAATACTCAGTGGAAAATGCGGGGAAAATGTTGGCAGCACTAAAAAATTGGCTTAAAATAGGTATCTAGAAAAATATCAACAAAATAGGTATCTAGAAAATAGAAAATAGGTAAAATAGCCAATAGGTATCTAGAGAAATATCAACATAATGATAGACTTCTCTCAGGTTCATACGAGCAAGTCAAAATTATTACTAGTTAAAAATTAGTTCTTCATCACACTGTGTCTTTGATAACATCAAGATAACATAACGATCAAGCAACAAGCACCGTATAAATTTAAATGAAAGTCAAATTACCTAATCGATATTGCATAAAATAACACAAAACACAACAGAGCACACAACACGGCGCCCCACAAATGTAACAATCAAGGATACTTAATTGCCACTTTTTAATTCACTGTCAATGTGCCACCTAGTGAGTGATATATGAAACTATGTATATGACGTCATTGCACAAAAGTGCTGCGTTCGGTAAAGCATTTCTGGATAGGTATGTGCACTGTATGTGTATTTACAGTCACGTACAGTCGTTCGATCGATACTCGATAATGGAAACCCTGCGAAAGAATGAATTCACGGGCCACGGCCTACACTTTCTTGAGGTAGCCTACCTATAGCGGACCACGCTTGGTGATTGACCGGACGTGGTTTACAGTGGCGAGATGAGCCACGTCCTGGCCGTTTTACCTACAGGATCCATGCTGCAGGCATGGGTGGAGAATGTAGTATGGCAGGCATGACATGCGCCACACCAACTTGAAAGATGGTATGGCAATGCCATACCAACTTCTCAGGGCTAAAACTATGAAATTTAAGGATTTCAGTTTTATAAAAATATAAAATATGAAATAAAAATGTTTGTTTCATGAACAAACATAAAAAGTTTCGTATGGGTGTTATGCATTTTAGTGCAAGGTAATATTAGCTTTCGGTTTCGTTTTATCCTATTTTATCCTTGCATGTGCTTTGACCTTAATGTCCCCAAAAGCCATTTACCTGGATGGACATAAAGAATAAATGATCGATGATGATGCTGATGAACAATGAGTTTCAGGAAAGAAGACAAGTAATCCACTAGATACTAATATGATTATAAAATATTTTGGCAACTGCAATAGGTATACGTTTACGTAGATGCGGTCAGGCGGTCAACGTTTACGTTTCTGCTGTATAGCATTAAGTTCCAAGCAACTGGCGCCACACCAACTTTGAAAACGGTTCTCCACCAATGCCTGCAGGAGTAGGTAGATTACTTCATTGCCGTACCTATGTTTTGTTGCTGGACCATAAGGAGGATACAAATTTGTAGCTTTCCCGTGTCCGCGTGTGCATATTCATGATATTGTCTAAACGCTACATTTTGTGGAACCTGTTCATCACCAATGAACGCATGTGACGTTTCGACAAGCGCTAGGAATAGGTTGCTGCCTGCTGGGTTCATTATTTGTTGGCAGGGAATGGATCACCACTGCAGAAAATAGGTATTTCTGTTAGCTTATGCATTTTAGATGGGAAACAAACTTAAAAGGTACCTAGATACCTAACTCTGTGACCGTGTCGGGATAACAATTCCAGCATGGTTGGATTTGTATTGACACTCGTTTGTTTATTTTTATAATGCATATTCTTGTTAGGATGAGATAATAGTAGAAGCTCTAGGCTTTGGTGTGGGTACCTACTACCGAATCCATGGTGACTTTACCTATAGATGATAATTATGGGGGGTCAGAGGGGCTTCAAGCATGGAACATTCAGGCAGCTGATAAAGACATCTGCAGAATGGGCTGTGATTGCTGCGCCTCCGACATTGGGATTTTCCCCGCTTCCCTCTGTATATACCCACATTCATTGCCTTTCCTTCACAGTGCGACACAGCCGCTTGCACACCAGGTCAGCGCCATTAGGCAAATGAGATGCGCCCAGCCCATAGTGTCTCATTCTGTTCCGGCGGCCGTCGGGGAGAGGCGGCGCGTGCACCTGGAGAACGGGCCCGCTCGTCTCAATTAGCGCTTCTCTGAGCGGGCGGCCGGGGCAATACGTTATCTCGGTGAGTCCTGGGAAGCTCGGTAGGTACGACAATGAGTGGTCGCGGGCAGGCTCCTTCACCAGCAGCAACGCCGGTCATACACCGGCGGGATGGTGAACCAATACTTTGTCCCTTATTAGGGTCTCCGACTCTCCTTACACCTTCCAGCCGAACTGCAGAGTGACAGAATACCTACCTCCTATAGGTAGCAGCGAGATCGGGTTAGAGGGATCGACTCCAAGCCTAATCGACTGCGCCGCAGTAGTTCCGACGGCTCAGCCCGGTCCGACTCCGGTCCCATATCGGCCCATGATGAACGCAGAGGACGTGCGTCACTCGTCGGCTCTTTTATTAGTGGTACTTGAAGCCGGCCTCATATGGCCCAATTAGCCGGCGGACTGCCGTCGGCCCGCCGCCCGGCTCGATAGCCCGGCCAGCCGCCGCCGGGATGCCGCACTCCATGGAGCGACAAGACACACGGACGTTTTTTTTTTTACAAGACACACGGACAGAAGGCATTTCAATCCACCGGGTCTTGGATCCTATTCAGCTGACGAGAAGTGTGAATTGGCGTTGTAATTATTTCTATCGTGGTGATTCCCTTTACAAAAGACTTAGCATTGTAGAATGTAGATAGATACGAGTCGTCGTCACACCCTTTATACCAATTATAAGTTAGTGACCAAAGCAGACGTAAAACCGTGGAGTAACACAAGATCAAAGCAATGCCGACGAGGCAATAAACAAAGGTGTATTTTTAACATAAGTGCCCAATAATTTTACTCTAATGGGACATGCCTCAGGCTGCTTGAATCAATTGGATGTCGAACTTCTTTTTTCTATTTAATTTCATCATATTTTTTCTAAAGCATGAGAAATGAATGTATGACAAAACCGATTGACGATTTTGATAAAATGTGTGTATAAATGTGTAGGTAAGCAAGCACTTATCTCCCAGTTGACGTTCAGGCTCAAATCATCAAATGTGAAGATATTTGAGAATGTACGTACGTACATCTGTGAATTTTCACATGGCTGCATTTCCTGACACCTGTCAGAACTCAATTACGTTGTCTGTCCCACGGAGCTTTCGAATCTCCCTGGTAGGTTTGTTTGTTTTGTTGGGTTAGGCCCTTTCGGTCGACAAGACCATTGCAGAGCCGGAAGGATGATAGGAATTAGGGGGAGACATTGGTCTGGGCAGGCACCCTAGTGAGTCGCCGGGGCTGAGCCCGTCCAGAGGACAGGCCACCCAGCCCCAAGGCACTCACTGCACCCGGCTACGGGGTGCGCTCCCTCAGGAGCAGCGGTGCCGCTCCAAGGGAGCAGCCCGCATGAGATAAAGTTGCCTGTCCAGCCCGGAGGGGGGTTGCGGCGTGGAGGAGAAGGATTTCAGTATCCTGAGGATAGAAGCACGGATAGGTGACCTGGTAGGTATGTTCTATGAAGGACATTGGACAGTTGTTTACTCGGAGAGTTCGGTACATAGCAAATGCGCATATTTATGTCTCCCAGTATACTCTAAACACTCTTATACTATTAGATTCCTTGCAGTGAGCTTCACCATCTGGCTTCTACTGTCTACGGCGCGGCGCTCAGCAATCAAAGCTAAGCTAAGCGGCACAGCCTAACTTCAGGCGCTCATCACTAGTGCCATCTATGGACAAGGACTGAAGAGATTGGGCCGTGCGGCACAGCCTAACTTCAGGCGCTCATCACTAGTGCCATCTATGGACGCAGACTGAAAAGATTGGGCTGTGCGTCACAGCATCTATTCAGGCGCCATGACTGCCAGTGTTATCTATGGACGTAGATCCGAAAGATATAGCCATGCGGCACAGCATACAATCAGGCGCTGACTGCAATGCCATCTAGGGGACAGCAGTATAACTAACTAGTGCCCCGTTCACCCGAGGAAAGGCCGGGTAATGACGTTCCTATATGGCATGATTCGGTTTCAGGGCCTATAAATGTGACATCTCACAGGCGTTCAGCGGCTTTATCCGTCAGATTCGGCGCCTGGTGTCCCTAGTTAGACTCGGGCTCTGGTTCCGACAATGTGGTCACTAGTCACTGCGGGGTTCAATTTCACTGCGGTCCAGACTGGACAACAGCACCGAGTCAGACCCGAAACTCGCTATCGAGTCGTCCCACCTGTCGTCGACGGACGTATCGCTCCTGTTTGGGCCGCCCGGAACGCCGCACTCCACCGGAACGGACAGGTTTACAGGCGTACTCGGCCTAATTGCAGATTGACGTGATTTACACCTGACATGCCCTCTAGCATATTGGCTCCTGTATTTGTACACCTCTTGGACACCAAACTCATGGTAGTCGGACAGGCGCATATGGACGTCAGTCAATGGTTCCGACGGAAACCATGCTGACGATGACTCCTGCACAACAGAAGCGAGCAGTGGCACGTCTTGGGAGTGGATAAAAAATGGCACAGCTCAGGCTTTACAGTTTACAAAATGTCTAAAAAAAAAATATATCAACAGTTACCTGATGAAAAGCGTAGAAAACTTTTTAGAATGAAAACAGTACCCCCAAATTCTATCGACAAATATATTTGTCTCTAAATAATAGCATATAGGTAGTCGTCTCTTAACCCGCACCCGAAACGCCCCCCCCCCCCCGTCCTTTTCCGTCGGTATCTCCTAAACGGCTGGAAATATCGCTACCAAACTTTCAGGACCCCTCCGAGCATTAATTTTACACATTGTGATAAAAACATTTTTTTAGCGGCTGTGATAGGTTGGCCACAAATGACGTCAGAATGACGTCATGTTCTGCCATTTTCGACCGAAAAAAGACCTTCGCGAGAAGAGCTGGCAGGCCTACAGCTTTGAAGATACAGAAAAATGATCAGACATAGAAGGTATAGAAATGACAGGGCTACAACACTGTCATCTCGGATTGTTGAAATTTTTGAATTTTGACCCCCTTAAATCAAAAAAGCATTTTTTTGGATAAATTAGCCAATAATCCAAAAACCTTTTTGAGCTTCGAAAAAACGGGATACATGTCAGAGTACCTACCGTCTTTTATCTACATACCAAATTTCAGATCGATTTCTCGTTTTTTGGCCAAGTTACAGCGAAAAAAACTGTTCAAAAATGATGACGTAAAATTTTCAAACTCAATTTCTGGCAATACAACACTTTCATATTGTAACCCCCAGTGACCTGACCTCTGTGACCTGACCTGGCATCAGTGATCTCAGATAGCAAAGTACGTGTTTGACGAACAATTTACCAACAATTTACCTGACCTGACCTGCCCCGATCTAGCCCAAATGCATGAAGATGTCATCTGTGATCAAAACTAACATGATATTCGTGATCAGCTCCCCGAAAAAATTGATAGCCACACTTTACGACGTTCCAATAGGTCCGGATTTTCCCTACTTTTGGGTCATTGTCCTGACCTGGAAGGTAAACCGATGACATAGGACCGTCACGGGCAACACGCTCGCTTTTTTCGCGAAGCTCTTGCTCGATCAGGGGCGAAACGACAGGAGGGGTTCAACGGACCCCCTTCTCCCCTAATAAGTTCGTGGCTTGCAAAGCACCAATACGGGCGAGGGTTAACCCGCGCCCCGTAGGGCTACCGGCGGACCCTACCACCCGTAGGGGGGGGGGGCCGTTTCGGCCCCCCCTAAGATCTCGGAAAGTTACCGGCCGATTTTCAAAATTCAAACGACGTTCGATAGCCCCACCTGGGAACTACCTTGTGACCAAATTTCATTGACCTAGGTCAAACCGATGACGTCACAGGTCAGGTCAAAGGTCAGATTTTCACCGTTCACAGGCAATTCAAGAAATGTGCTGTGAAAGCGAGTAAATTGGTAATTTATTGAAAACCATCGATGGTACATTGTTCGTCAAACACATACCTTGCTATCTGAGGTCACTGATACCAGGTCAGGTCACAGCGAGGTCAGGTCACCGGGGGTCACAATATGAATGTGTCGTGTGATACATGTTTTATGGTCCATTTTACATGACAAATGCGATTATGTGGGTTAGGCAGCCTTTGGGGCCAGCCTAGGTCACGTTTTTGTGAAGGTCAGGTCAAGGTCAGGTCAAATTAGGTCAAATTTCAAAGTTGATATTTTTGCATAACATGGGTATCTATTCGATGCAGCTCGTCACGGGGAGTCTAATGGTGGTCTTCGTTTTGCTCTACGAGTTCTAGAATTGCCAAAAATTGAGTTTGAAAATTTGACGTCATCATTTTTGAACAGTTTTTTCACTATAACTTGGCCAAAAAACGAGGTATCGATCTGAAATTTGGTATGTAGATAGAAGACGGTAGGCACTATCACATATATTCCGGTTTTTTTCGAAATTCAAAAAACTTTTTGGATTTTTTGGCGAATATATCCGAAAAAATGCTTTTTTGATTTTTGGGGGTCAAAACTCAAAAATTTCAAAAATTCGAGATAGCAGTTTTGTAGCCCTGTCAATTTTACACCTTTTATGTCTTGATCATTTTTCTGTATCTTCAAAGCTGTAGTCCTGACAGGTCTTCTCGCGAAGGTCTTTTTTCGGTCGAAAATGACAGAACATGACGTCACTCTGACGTCATTTGTGGCCAACCTATCATAGCCTCTGGAAAAATTTTTGGTCACAATGTGTAAAATTGATGCCCGAAGGGGTCCTGAAAGTTTGGTGGCGATATCTCCAGCCGTTTAGGAGATATCGACCGAAAAGTAGGGGGGGGCGCGGGGTGGCATGCTATGGTTCTTTGGCTACCATCGCTGTGTCATGGGTGCTACAATATTCCAAGCATGTGCCGAGAGGAGGCGTCGTCCCGGCTTTCGATCGCCTGCCAATCCATCGGCTCACCTGCTGCCGCTTTGTGCGTGACGTCATCCATCCCCCATCTCGGCGCTCCACCCCCGCACGACGCTCATTGGTCGGCTAATGTATGACGTCACAGTATCACTATAAAAGTGTATCACAGCCGCGGGCATGTCCTAAGGAACACACCCCGAGAGGTGCGGTCATACCATCGACGTCCAGGGGAGTGGCAACTCACGCCTCCGCCTCCACCTACCTTCACAAGGTACGTTCAATGTGACCAAGCATATTTCAGTTAGGCGCTTTTTTGATCGCTAAAAAGCGGTTCCAGCAAGGTGATTACCTACTGATTTATATCCCTTGTGGCTTGTTTAGAATGCGAGGAGCATTTAAAGCGCTATTCATGTGGATTTTTCTATTTATGGATCGAGCATTAGCGTACTTAGTGCTTATGATCAGTTGAGCGATAAGTTTGAGCACTGAAGATCTGACTCCTATTCGCCTGCGTGATAAGGGCGCGGCCCAACTGATTTGACAGAGACGTGCTCTGGCCCTAAATGCGGAATTGACAATGCCATATAACAGCATTAACCACAACAGGTTGCACTGATGTAGTCATATCTAATTTACAAAAAGATCAAATAATATGCAAAAGCCAAAAAGTTGTAAACACATAACAAAATCTGTAGAATTATGATCTTAAAAAGAGCCACATCATTGGAATAAGGTTCAGAGTACAATTACGATTATTATTATTTCCTTCTTTTTTTTTTAACGAGCGTGATAGGCTGGGAGCCGGATCACGATTTTCCGGTATGGGTGTCATTTTCATTTTTGTACATTCAGCTCTAATATTTGAATGGATGGATTGACATATAGTCGGAATTCACGCAAAGCAGAACTTGTTGCGCAAACCCCGATCCCTACCGTCCGATTGCGTAATTCCCATGGTAACGGGAGAATTTACAGATGCCAAAGTTTAACGTGCCCAACAAAGCCGGACATCTCTCCCACTCAACTAACTTCAACTGGCTGCAGAGTGCAGGTGCTCCCACCAACAGCGGACAATGCTCGTTAGGAGTCTCATGTATCGAGTACCGGAGAGACTCGAGCCTGGGCTTCCACCACCCAGAGCCTAACGCTCTACCAACTAAGCTACGGGACAGGCAATCGAGCCATGCTTTGGCACTTTAGCATCAAAAGTCACAACATTTTCCACTGTCGTTCTTCATCAATGACATTGTAAGAAGATTGCCTCAGTTGCAGGTCATGGAATGACTTAACCCTCGCCGGCCGGGGGGGGGGGGGGTGCCGCCCCCCATAGGGTTTTACGCGATAGCTCCGAACACGCTGGCGATAGAGAGCTGAAACTTGGCATACCTGACCTTTGATTCAAGCCGGATCTTTTGACACCAACCGCATTTTGGGTCAGGTCAGGTCACTGACCTATGACGTCATAAGTGAACCTCTGCACGGTCTTCAGATGTCGCAACTTCGCAACGCCCTCACTGCCAGAGGAGATGTCACAGGGAAATGAAACTTGCAGAATCTAGTATCCATTATGAGTCCCACAACTTGTATATCTCAGATTTTTCCTAAAGGTCATATGAGGTCAGGTCATTTTCGTGACCTCACCATTATAAGTCAATCGGGAAAAATGAAAACTGCTATTCTGGCGCCGGGAACGATCTCCAACTATCTCAAGCACACACAATCGTGATTTGATGCACTCCTTGCAAGGTTAGATGCGTCACTTTTGCAATGTTGACCTTGCGTGACGTCATTTATGACGTCATCAAGGTCATATTAATTTTTCGTCAATAACTCTTGATCAAATTGAGCTAGCGAGTCGGGAAAGCCACCAATGGACTCAGGAAGGCCTGCCGAATCGAATTATATGCGACATGACCTCTTTCGACCAACTTCGTGACCTGGGGGTACTGACCTGACCTTGACCTGAGGTCAACACCCCAAGTTGACCTGACCCGGACAAAAAGTATATCATTCGACGCGCCTGAGCGAGGCGAACACGATGCTGCCAAAATCGGCGCTCTGCGGCCCTTGTTTGCGAAGTTATTCACCAAAAACTGAACCGTACCTTGGGGCACTTGACCTGACCTCAGAGGTCACCGGTTGACCTAGGACCTTAAAATCGGGTACCAATCTCTGCGTCTCGTAACGGCGCACACGCTCGTTTTTTCCGCGACGCGCTAGCTCCACCAGGGGTGAAACGGCGAGGGGGGGTCGTACCCGCCCCCCCCCCCCCTCGGCCGGCGCGTATGTAGAAAACCAATAGGTCCGGCGAGGGTTAAGCCTCAGCTTTGTGAGCATACAATTCACATCCCATATTAGCCGTTTTCACGACGGGCTATCCGGCGAGTGCACTTATTTTGACCAAATCTGCACCTAATCTCTTTTAAAGCAAATATATCTTTATTTTATGAATTTATTTCAGTATTTCAATTGATGATACTCTCTGATAATATGACAAAGCAGGCGTATAAGCAATTAGTGCAACCCTAGCTGATAGCTACTAGGAGAAACACTAATTTGACCAAATCTTCACCTAATCTGCACCAAATGTGCAACAAATGTGTACCAGATGGTCGTTGTGAAAACGGCTATTGTTGATTTTGGTTAGCCGACACCGGAATGTATAAGAAGACACTCGTACTGACCTCAGGGCACTGTAAACTGTAAACTGTACCGACGAGTACTAACGTACTGAAGGCACTGCAACTGACTTCAGCTCATTGCAAGTGACCAACCAGATTCGCACTCTGTGATAGACCCTCAAAGATTTTCGAAAATTTCAGCAAAATGCTCTTATAGCTGGCTATTCGTATAAGCATGCTGTTTAGTCTTAGAAATGTGAATGCCAGAGTGCTTAGTTCGAGATTCTGTGCCATTTAATAACTTAGGTATATTGAAGCGCAACAAATACAAAAGGATGATAAAAGCTTAAAAAGCAATGTTTAAAGCGATAAAAGCAATTGAAAAGCAATGTTTTAGTAGCAAGCAATGTTGTCTATCAATTTTCTCACCTAAATGAAAAAAGAAAATGTTATAAAAGCGTATTCTTCGCGAGTCCTTCGCAAATTATCAATGTTCTTTGTGCCTTAAACGGCGATGAAGGAGGATGTGATTGGTGAAGAATTTCATTTATAAAAGCTTGTGTTGTTTTAACGGACAGCATAACCAAAAATCAAACCATCAAATTCAAAGACGTAAAAAGTGTCATTTAATATGGGGAATATGCGACAAAGTTATGCTGCATCCGCATTTCAATCTCTTCCCTCCAATATCGGTGAGTGGTAGCAATATGATACGGTGTGAAAATGCTTTCTGCACATTCATTTAATCTGCAAATGGAATATATTTCACGTGTACCTAGTGACATTACATTTCGTCCCAGGTCACTGCCGTACCAGACACATCAACAGGGCGCCTGAGCTTTTGGGGTGATCTGCTTTGCCTGCACCGATCCGAATATCAATAATGCAATTGCAATCACATCATAAAAGTCGGCTAGTCATAAAAATCACCATTATGGCAACAAGTCAATTACAAAATACGATTGAGCTAATTTCGGTGCTTTTCTCGAATATGTCGGCTCATCTGGTAGAACAACAGAGAGATTTAGAGTGGAGACAGTTATGACGTACGTCATGTATGCATGCATCTTTGTTAAAGGCTTACTATTTTCAGTTTCTAACGCACAAGCTCCCTGCAACGAAATCAATCAACTTCCTTCATTAAGCAAATGTCATTTCTTGTCGATGCGGCGGCCGGGTGTCGGCTAATCTCTATACAGAGTCACTGGAGCGTCACGCCGGGACCTCTATTGATAGTGGCGGCGGTGACGGTCCCTCCAGTGTGGCTGCTCGTCGCGTGACCGGGAGGCGACCGGCACAGATGGCCCCCGACCTCCGCCAATATCCAGCACTCCAAACACACTCACAGCCGCCGGATGTCTGTCTATTCGCCACACCAATAAGGCCAATGAGCACGGAGCGCCACAGTAGTACCGGCCAATGGTGTTTGGCCCGAGTACGGCGCGCAGAACACCACAGAAAAGTGCTGTGCGCTGGACGCTGGACACTGGCCGCATTGCGACGTGCAAAAAGGCACAGAATGCACCGGGCGCCGTCGTTTTTTCGGCCTGTGGCGCACAGATCGCTAGAGTAAAGTGGTACCGAGCGGCAGTGCAGATATCGTCACAGTATTCAGCATTCTCTTTCCGACAAGATTTGTGCCATTGATATCAATAAACACCGCTAATTCGCAGAGATGGAACGAAGTTGAAACGTTACATATGATTACGAGCGAGCGAGCGCAGCGAGCGAAGCGAGTCTTTTCAATATAAAGGAAAAATCTCAGTATGAGCGGCCCGGCCCGGCCCGGCCTGTAACGCTTTTGAGAGGCTTATATCTCAGCAACCGCTGGACCGATTGGCCTGCGGTCTTTTTTTGCTGGGTAGCCCCATCCCTTCTACCCCGTAATTGACTACTTTTGATACATCTCAGTGACCGTCGTGGCACGTGCCACGTGAAAAGTCAAGGGTGTTCCAGCTGTTTTACAAAAGTAGTGATTTTGAGAGGCTCATATCTCAGCAGCCGCTTGGGCGATTGACTTGCGGTAATTTTTATAGGGTAGCTGCATCCTTTCTACCAAACATAGGATACTCTCCATGCATGTGGGTCACCCCCAGTGCACGTGCAAAATACAACAATAAGAGGTGTCAAATTTGTTCCCATTTTAATAACTCGGTAATTACTGGGACGATTTCGCTGAAACTTGGCATACAGGTAGGCACCCACCAGGCAATGCATTCCCATGTGTTGCGGTTAAGGTGCTACTGCACGTGCGCACGTGCAGGGGGCGCTTCCAGATCTCGAGAACGGCTGGGCCGATTGCGCTCAAATTTGGTACACGGTTGGAGACCGGTTAGTAGGGTGCCGTGCAAAAGTCAGTTTGGACCCCGTTTGCACGTGCGCACGTGCAGAATGCCGCTTCCAGATCTCAGGAACGGCTTGGCCGATTGCGTTCAAATTTGGTACACCGCTAGCGACCGGTTAGAAAGGTGCTTTGCGCAAGCCCGTTGGAAGTACCCTCTCGCCCTTCCGCACGTGCAGGGCTCGCTATCTCGCTCGCTCGTTCTTCGCCCAAAAGGCGTTTTACTGGTTGTAGTATGTAGAAATTATTGCCATTGCACGAAGGTGAATGCACATATTAATGTTCTACAATACATTGCGAAAGATTTCATGCATAGCACCTACTACCAACGAATCTGTTCACTTAATTTTACTTTTTCCTTGTATCTGCTAAAGTTGCGTGTAGGTAAGCGTATCGGGGCTTATGCAATTAAAGCCAACCTTTGCCGCCTTAGCTTCATATCTACATCCACATTTCATTCACAGTTACACACGCAATCGCTAGCTCCACATGTTAACTTTCAACATTGTACTGCAACCTTCCATTTGGCCATAAATTTACCCAGCACGTCAAATGCATGCCGTTTAATTGTAATTCGGATGTCCTGGCGGTGGCTGTGAAATTAATGGTTCTGGATGTCGAAGAGCGTAATGTATGCCATCGGACACCAGCCTGATAATTTCGCAGCTGGCCATTGGAACAGGACTCGTCACATTATATCGCTCGACAGACGTCGGACAAGTTCCCGCGACTGGTGACCCATAGAGGGTATAGGCATTGCTTTAGGTGCCCTTAACCCCGTGAAAGGAAGAGCTATCCCATATCATCGCATTTGGTTATCCTATTTTAAATCGAATTCGGGACGCCGAACATTTTAACCCTCGCCCTGGCAGGGCATTTTTCATGGCACGGCCTAGCAGACTTCAGTCCAAAACTGTGAGTTGGACAGGTGCATAAAGTAAAATTGAAATTTGACCATGACCTTGTACCGGTTTTTCTGACCTAGTGACCTGACCCAAGGTCACCCGGACCTGAAATTTTCAGGTCATATGTAAAAAGATTGCCTCATAGGCTGTAACCAATTTGGCGGCGCTGCGCATGCCGCCGTTTCTACACTATCTTCGAAAAACCTTGGGGGGGGTCGCATCGACCCCCCTGCCAGGGCGAGGGTTAACATACTGATCCTTCTATGATCAAAACTTCATAAAAATTAAAATGTTAGATGACCAATTGACCACACTGTAAAAACTGTCTGACGTGTTCTCATCTCACTGACCCAGCCGGCCGCTGTGTGTTTCAGCTCCAGGATGACGCTAGCCCGTTTGTCGCTGCTCCTCACCATCTGCGTGGCCGTGCTGGTGGCCGCCGCAGCCGGCAAGAGCCTCCAGAAGGACGTGTTCGTCCCGCAGTACGACGCCGAGGACCACAAACTGGATGTGAGTGGAGTCGTGAGACTGGTCAGACAAGGCCGGCGATTAACGATAGGTCGGCCCATGGATAGGATAGGAACTAATGCATAGTTAATTAAATGATTTATTATCATATTGCTAGTGCTTGCCTCTTCACCAGCTATTCGACTAGTAAGTCATATTTCTGAGGTAAGGTATGCCATACCTTAGCTACAAAAAGTAGACGTTAGTTGTTAGGTGAGTGCTTATGGATGCTTTATCACAGATCCTTTGCCCCTGGCGATGTTAAGCATGGCTAAAAGCTTCAGCTAATAATTGATCATTATCAATAACAGCTAAAATAATTGCTCAGCTCATTAAACTTAGATAAGATAAGTTTACACAAGACAGAGTATGAAAGTTCGTGACTCAGTTCCATTCTTATCTGTTACCATCCGTTCCGCGGACCGCGATTCACCAGTGCATCGCATTATTCTAGTTACTAACAACACGGGCAGAGTCGAGCCCAATAACCCATGCGTCGGCGACTTATCAATTATGCGCAGCGCCTTCCCATTCTCCGTAGGGTATCCCGAACGGAACTGATGCATAATTAAATGATTGATTATCAGATTGGTAGCGCTTGCCTCTTCAGCCCAAAGAGTTGACAATAATCCGAGACTATCCAAAGGTAACTCAAGGAGCACACAACACTGTAACCGTAATGCGATAAAGGAACAAATGTCATTCCATTGCGCATTTACCAGGCATATGTGCACTATACGTCCGGTATAATTCGTTCACTGTTCAGTTCCGTCTTATTACGAGGTGATCGATAAAGAATGGCATAATGATAGCCACCGCGGGAAGCATGTAATATATCTTGTAACGCATGAACAGCACACCGTTAAAATGATAAGTCTTGAACATTTGACATCACACAATCGGAACTCAGTTGTGACACTTCGTTTCTCTACAGGAAGTGCTCAAATTGCCACTGCTTCTCCGCGCGGCAGAGCTCGGCTATGACTTTCGCTCCGTGTGCTTCTTGCATGGAATCAGCTTCTGTGGATTCGTTGGTGACCACGATACTGTATTATTTATGTTGGGGGCTTGCTGTAGCACAAATCACTTCTAGACACTTCAGATCACCCATTCAAACCTTTCTTGACCGAGCCAAAAGGTGAACACTGCACGTTTCCAGCCTCGACCCTATGCTGTTAGCAGAGAAGATGGTCGTTAGACTTCGACGGCACGGTTTCCAGTTTAGTTTCCTGCGTAGAATTGTCCAAGTCCATATATTCCAAAAATGGCATCCCCAAGTCGCCACGTTTCAAATATTTATTAGGTCGATTAGACCGATGGAAATAACCACACTATCAGAAAATATCAAGCTCAAAAGAAAAACGTCTTTGCGTCACTGTTCTAGAGGTTCAGGTCCCTTCCCCAAGGTGTAGAGTCGTAAGAGCATTACCAGTGTTTGATAATAACAGTCTGCCGCCCAATGTAACAGAATAGGATGCTTCTTGTGGTGCATTAGCCCATTGCTGAGTCAAACCGTTCAGCAGCGCACGCCATTTTGTCACGCTCAAATACCGACCGGCAAGCGGGCCGAGTTCTTCGGTGCAGTTTTGGTCTCAATAGCGGACGCTTCCTTAGACGATATTGCTGGTCTTTATTTGCCTTCTATAACTATTCAAAGGAACTCGAACTATGGCAGACATTTGCGCTACAAACACAGTTTGAACGGAGCTGAGGGACGTATGCCAGTGGTACATTTAGACAGAAGTTGGTGAAATGGCACGACCTGTTGAAATTGATTTGGTATTTAATTTGCCGCAGTTATGATTGATAAAATCTGTTATTTATCTATACTTCACGACGATCCATAAATAACAGCCGATGTTGCTCTCTCTCTCTCTCTCTCTCTCTCTCTCTCTCTCTCTCTCTCTCTCTCTCTCTCTCTCTCTCTCTCTCTCTCTCTCTCTCTCTCTCTCTCTCTCTCTCTCTCTCTCTTTCTCTCTCTCTCTCTCTCTCTTTCTCTCTCTCTCTCTCTCTTTCCATCTCTGTCTCGTCTTCTCGTCTTTTTATCTTATTTTATAATGTAGGCATTTTCCTTGTTTAGCCGATTTTTTTGTTTCAGATAAAAGGCGAAGGAGAAAGTTGCCTATTTGGTGAGAATAAATTAACAGCTAGAGACCATCGCTAGCTGCCCTAGTTGTGACTTACGAATGGCTTATGGCAATTCACAAATATTGTCGCTTATCTAATCTAAAAGATTAGAATATAGATAAAGTAATAATATCGGCAGGTGCGACAACGCTCTGTTGCAAGCAAAATATGTCAGAAATGTCAAATTAGCCCTCTTCCTAAAACCAGGAGAAATGGGTTCTAATAAAATATGGTCCAGTCGCTGCGTTAGGGACTGCCATGCTCCTCTTGTCCTGGCTGCCATACCATACCATGACGTCGGCCGTGGGCCGTCAGAGCTGTTTATGCAGTCCAGGTGGGCCGGTCCCCCGGACAGCGAACACGACCCTGCGCTCGGCGGCCGGGGTGACGTGCCGGGGTGCTTCCCCCCGCCCCCCCCCCCCCCGACGGCGGAGGACACATCGCTCTCGGCGGCGCGGTGGGCACTCACTGTCCCATCCAATTTCGGACCATGTGAATACGTTACATCCATATAGACAAAGACGCAAAGTGAAACACAAACCATCTACAGATACAAAATGGATTCTAAAACCCATTGAAGCGAAGCAGATGATACAAACGACGTCGAATGACTAGTCTGTACCGTATAGGACTAAGTCCTGCCGTGTCCGTATGGCGTGACCGACCTGGGGTAACGGGTTTCTTACGTGTGGCCGCTCCAGGTATCGTGTGGTTATGTGATGTCGTTTCACCTGTGTGACCGACCTTGTGTGATGTCTGATCACCCGTGTGACCGTTCCCTCGCTCTCTGATGCCAGGTGATGCCTGACGACGGCACGGCGGAGACGGCGCTGCTTAACTACCTGTACGCCCGTCAAATGCTGCGGCGACTCAGCAGCAACCTGGACGTGACCGAGCTGCAGCGCAAGCGCTCCTACTGGAAACAGTGCTCCTTCAACGCCGTCTCCTGCTTCGGCTAGACGACGAGCGTCGCGTACATGGCAGCTGTCGCCCCGACATCCGCGCTTCCCATCCCTAACGGCAAACATCAGGGGACGAGGGACTCGAATCCGCGAGATGCCGTGTGACTTTTTGGAAATATTAGCCGACTTATTTTGGTGAAATTCACTCATAGAAGTGCGACAGTTGTAAGCCCCTGTGGAATGTCCCCCGCGCAGTCTTTGTGATCTCAAGCCCGTCCTCTGTTGCCGCTTTTCACAATGCGAAAAAACGAGCGAGCTTGAACTTGGCTGGCTTATAACTGATTGCTTTTTTATGATGTGGACTATATTTCATTGTCTCTTGCTATCTTATGGAAATTATTTGATCATGAAATGCCTGTCAGATTCATAGAATATGTGACAAACGCGGTTTCATTATGTTGTTATGTTTTCATCTTTTTACATCTGAAGTGCCGTTACAAATAAACTTCGAAAAATACATGTTGTCTTCCAACTAACTATAGAGCTAACCCGATAAAGCAAGCGATTAAAAAGTTGACAAAAAGCAAGGGCAAAGCTATAGTAATACAGCGAGGCAAGGTCACCACGTTGCAAGGTTGACCTCCAGGCCGCAGGTTCAGGGGCGTAACTTTGTATACTTTTGGGGAGGCAGGTGCCCCCCCAACTTGAAATTTTGCCACCCCAACATTCCGTTTGCCCCCCCAACCTTGGTGGGCGCCCCCAGGCCCGAAAAGCGCCCTCACGGGCCAGCGGCGTCATAGGAGCGCGTGCGCCATCTTTCAAGGGGGCGCCATCGCCTATATGGAAATGGGATGCGTGAGAGGGGAACCTCTGAGGCCGTGGGGGCGCCTGCATGCGAAAGAGGGGCGCCCATGAAGTCCTCAGGGGCGCCTCAATGCAAAACACGGGCGCCTGAGATGGCCACAGGGGCGCCTGCATGCGAAAGAGGGGCACCTTATTGGCCTCTGAGGCCCTTCGGGGTGCCTCTGAGGTCTATAGTATAGGGGGCGCCCACATGAAAAAGGGGCGCCCATTAAGGCCATAATGGCGCCCCAATACGAAAGAGGGGAGACTGCATGCCAAATGGGGGCGCCTCCGAGGCCCATAGAAAGAGGAGCTCCAGTTGAAGCCCAAAGGGGCGCCTCAATGGGAATTAGAGACGCCTGTGAGGTCTATAGGGGCACCTCTGATGCCCATGTCGAGAGAGTCGTCAGTCGTTTGTGTAACGTTCCTCAGGGATGGTGCGCCGCTTGCGGCAAGTAAAAACTTAGCTAAATAGCGTGCCCCATTGGTTAAAAAGCGCCCCTCGAGCCAAAGTGGTGCCCCTCTGACAACACGCACGTCTTATGTCATCTGTTTTGCTAATAACTAATGCCCCCGCATGCAGAGCGGCGCCCCATCCGTTTATCAATGTGACCCTTCAGGTGGATGAAGCGCCCCTCTGGCCAATACCTTATCATCATTGTTGCTAGAACAGCGCCCCCAGTCCGTAGACTGCCCCATTGGCTCCTGAAGGCGCCCCTCGTGCCCGTTTTGGCGCCCCTCTGCACTGAGTAATGAAATGTATGTGGCCTACCAATTCTTAAGGGCGCTCCTTGAGTCATAATCATCGCTCCTCGGGGAGGGGGGGGGGAGGCTAGAGGGCCTAGATACCATAGCACGCTATAGTGTGTTATGGCATCCCTGCTGCTAAAACGGCACACTTAGCTAGGCTAGCGCCTCAACGGTTCATACAAGCGCCCCTCGAGCCGAAGTTCGCGCTCCTCTGACTTACATAATTTCCTTGCTAAGTACGACGCCCCTCGCTGGGCATGGGGTGGCGCCCCACCAGTTTACCAACGCGCCCCTTTAGCCACATGAAGCGCTCCTCTGGTCAATGCGGTCAATACCTTATTTCATCACTGCAGCTAGAGCGGCGCCCCTATTTCGGTGGCTGTTCCATCGGTTCCTGAAGGCACCCCTCGAGACAGTTTGGAGGCCATCTGCAGTGAGTATTAAAATTGATGTGGTTAAGAATGGCGCCCTCTGCACGGTGTCGCACCGATTCTAAAGGGCGCCCCTTGAGTCAATGTAATCGTCCCACAGGGCCTTGTGTGTTATGGTATCCCTGCTGTTAAAGCGCCACTCTTGCTTGGCGTAGCGTCCCAACGGTTCATAGCACCCATCGAGCCAATGTTAGCGCTCCTCTGACTATACTGGTATCCTACATCATCTTTTTTGTTCAAAGGGTGGCAAAATGTGGACCCGAGGACCCGGTCAAAAGAACGGGTCTGGACCCATAGGGGAGAGTGGGGAAAGATGCCCAGGGTTTGACTTTGTCATATATTATTCGAAAATGACGATCGGAAAGCCAAAACTTGGAGTTTCAACGGAAGCCGACATCATTTTTCTCCAAAAATATCACACTTTCGTGCCTGAAATATGATAACTTTTTTTGCTATTAAGCATTTTCCTGAAGAAGTGAAAGGGGGCATCTTACCCCACAGGGTGGGAAAGACGCCCCCTGGCGTTGGGTAAGATGCCCCCTGCACTATAAGTGACATAAATGGGCACGTGAATCGCCTGAACGAATCAGTAGTCCCTTCGAGCCTGCAGTAGACACCAAACGTCATCGTAAGGGCCCTCAAAAGTAGTCGTAAGGGGCTTCAGAGGTCATCGTTAGGGCCATCATAGTCCGGCGTGGCCAAACAAGCCTCCGTGGTGGCGTTCGGAGACCACTGTGGGGCCCTTATAGGTCTTCATGATGCTTGAGGGCCCTCGAGCCCATCGTGGGGACCTCAGATGCCAGCGCGGCCCGTGGAGCCAACGTGGGAGCCCTCAAAGGATGTCGTGAGGGGCCCTGGAACCAATAATGGGGCCCACAGAGGCCGTCGTGAGGGCTCTCAGAGTCAGATGCCGCCCAAAAAGTCGCTGTGTGGGCCGAGAGACCGGCATGGGGAGCACCCGACCGCCGTACCGGACTCTCAATAGTCCCAGATCGGCTTTTGTCTCTCATCACAAGTATGTAATAAATGATTTGACGGGCTGCTTGAAGGACAGCCTACGGATTTAGGGGGGCGTCTTTCCCCATCAGGACAGGGGGCATCTTACCCCAAGGTACCGAAGTAACATTAAATCAGCACAATTTGTTAGCCATAAAACTACACCCTGAAACAAACTGTTTGGGACACAGTACACGAATGTTAATGTATCACGACTATAGCAAGGGACGCAAAAATTATCTACCTTCTTTGATATTTACAATGTTTTGACGCCAAAATATTTTTTGAAAGCAGCAAATAAAAAACATGCAATCACCAGCCAGCCGTTGCCCAACTGAGCTTCGCAAATTTTTGTGCAGTTAACAAGGCAGGCTTCCGCTTTACGATAAGAACATTAATTTCCAGGTTCGATTCTTTGTTTCGCCCCTAGAGGGGGTGGGGCGTCTTTCCCACCCTGGGCATCTTACCCCACTCTCCCCTATGGGTCCGGACCGGTTCCTGGAAATTTTCTGGCGGGTCCAACCGGGTCCTACCATAAACCATACATAGTTGACACTACATATGATTGCAAAATATGAAGTGAATGGAAAGAAAACATTTGCTCATGTATGTTCCTTTGCACACTGTAGTTCATAAGTATTATCAGTGGGAAAAGGGCTGTTTTACACGATGCAATTAATGATTTCTACAAACGGTTTGTATTAGGTAATTGACTTTTGGGGAACGGGTCCAACTGGTTCCGATTCCAACTTAGACCGGGTCCGACTGGTTCCAGAAATGTCCAGCCGGGTCTGGTTCGAGTCTGGTTCCCAAAATTTTCACGTTTTGCCACCTCTAGATCAAAGCAGGAGTAATTTGTACCTATCATTTCGTGATAACTTGATATCACCTGGTGAGCCACAGACTTCTGCATGTCTCGGTATACAGAGGTATATGGGTGACCTAAGCTTGAACGCTCTCAGCCTGGGATTAACCCGCGCCGGGCTGGTGCTCCGCGACTTCCGCGCCGGGCGGTGAGGGGGTGTCTGGTCTAACTCGGCTCCTGGGCCACGTAGCGACACGCAGTAAGCATCATTCGAAAGAGCGTCAAAAATAATGACGGAAACACTTCGGTCATTTTTTGGGTCAGGTCAAAGGTCAGGTCGCCTGAGGTCATCGAAGGTCAAATGTAGGCCATTTCAACAATTTTGGAAACTGCAACGGCTAACTCGGGACCAATAGAGCTACAGCGCCGCGGAAAAGCGCATTCGATAGCCCTTTTACAGACCTTTCTGACCATTGTTCTCAGATTTGACCTAAGGTCAACGGTTTAGCCTCCAAAGGGCAAAAACTTTAAAATAGCAGTTTTCACGAAAACTGTTTTTCGGCAATAACTTTTGACTTAAGAGTGCCACGACATTACTTTTGGCAGCATCATGTTCCTCTCGTCGAGACGCGTCGAATGAACTATTTTTTTACCTTGAAAGGTCATTTTTAAAATTTGACCTCAGGTCAAGGTCATAACCTGACCGAAAAGGGTCATGTTGCATATCAGTCGATCCGTATCGTCCAGCTGAATACATCTGAAGTGTTTTCATCGCTCTAGCACGCCTTTATCAAAAGTTACAGCCAAAAAACTGGTGGTGACCGTCTATGACCTGAGATGACCTCAAGGGCACACAGAGGGGTCACAGGTGCATTTTTTCCGATTCAGTGTATCATGTTTACCTATGAAACGATGTTTGAGAGGGTTCAAAATACCATTCGTCCAAAAAAGGCTCATTTCAATTTTCTCCCATTGACTTATAATGGAGAGGTCGCAAAATTGACCTGACCATAGGTCACTGATATCAAAATTCCGAGATAAACATTTTAGACATACTGTTACTCTTATCAATCGCTGAAAGTTTCAAGGCGATCGTTCAGTCGGTGTAGCTATGACGAGGATTGCAACTTTTTTCTGAGGTGAGGTCTTTTGACGTGACCTGGTGACCTGACCTTGAGAGCTCTGGGTCTGAAATTTGCACATGTGTAAAAAAAGATGCATGAACAGGTGTGCCAAAAACGGCGGCGCGGAGTTTTGAGATATCTGCGAAAAACCGCAGGGGAGGTGTTCACTCCCCCCCCCGGCCCGGCGCGGGCGGGGGGGAATTTTTTTATTTTTTTTCGATGAGGGCAAATTTTTGCCACTGGTTTGCTTCTAGAACACGTGCGGAAAAGATGCAGTATGAAGTGTGTTCTTAACTTAAAAGGGGAGGCGTAAAAACGTCCCTTGCTTCTGCGTGGGGTGAAGTTCTACAGATTTGTTTCTTTAATCTCGCCTTTTTATCAGTTGTTTTTTCTTTTCTTTTTGTCAATTCATCAGTTCGTCTCGTTTCTTTAGAAGAACTACCATATGCGCTGTTTGATAAGGCGTCACTACCCTGGTCCCCAATTCCACTACCCGCCCCCGGTCTCTGGTCCCCAAAGTGCTTTCAAAATGTATTTGGTTACAAAATAATTCCGCGCTTTTGGCGCG